CCCGCGAAATGCTGCTGATTGGTTGTGATCGCGGGGATCACTGGGAGCAGCAGCCCCATCCGCTGGGTTCAACATGGGAATGGGGATCCGTGGTCTCGAACAGTTCCACCTTCGAGCAACATGACTGCTACGTGCCGTGACCAAAGGGGTTCCAACATCCCCTCGTTTAGTCTCAAAGCCCAGTTTGGCCTCTCTTTTTCTTTTTTTTCGTGCCGACGCCAAAGGGTTTCCTTTGGGAACCCCCCTACGCCACGGCTGCTTAGGCTTTCGGTAGAAGTCCATTGGGAACCCCCTACGGCGTTCCTGAGGGTTTCTGTAGAAAACCCCTCAAAGTTCCTTACTGCGACTTCTGTGGGAGAGGCTTTGTTGTTGGATGTCAGGTGGACTTCCTCGAGCTGCGGGATACCGAGTTGCAGGCCGTTTGGACGGGTTTCGCGCGTCCTTTTTCGCGGCGCTGCCCCCGTTGTTTTGCTTTTTGACATGGTATGAAAAAGAGGCGCAAAGGCAACACATTTTGAGGGGTGTTTTCTTTTTGACATATGTATGAAAAAGGGGCGCAAAAAGGCAAGCCACGAATTTGGAGGGTCCCTTGAGAGACAAACCTACATTTAAGGGCCAGTCAAGAGAATCGGCAGCTGATGTAGAGGATCCCCTTGTAAGGCATTTTGAACATGTATGCTCTATAACTTGGCGGAACCCGCTTGGGTGACCACATCCAAACTTTGACCAAGCAGCAAGAGGTCTCAACTCTTGGCCAAAAGACGTGTTTGAACCAATCGGATAGACAAGGAAGCTTGCGACATTCGCACTACTGTTTAAGCCACAAAAGGCGGGCATTGTCCAACAAACAGGGCTCAGATTGGCAAACAGTTGGTTTGAGATCACCATATCCACTGTTTCAGACTCAGATATTTAAACCACAAAAGGTGACCGGTGCACCTGGCCCACTTTTTGCCATGTTGGTGGGTTCACCGACTAGAAATGGTCCTTGCGGCAAAGGGAAATCAACCATGGCCCAAGAGAAGATGTCGTGGATCACCGCTGAGAAGGCAACGCATAACTGGCTGTTTTGTGGGCTGTTGGCCACCGCAGGGTCACCGGACAACTGGGAAATCAACCAAGGCCCGAAAAAAGATGTCGTGGATCACTTGCGGGTTTGGTGGGACTTTGGGGTTTGGCTCATGGGTCCACGCCACAATTCCTGTCTTTACCTTGCGGCTGACCTTGCGCAAAGGAACCCCCCGGATGCGTGAACATACTCCCCAGATTCACCTGGCACCCAACGAGCCACTTGCAGCGGACACTCCTTCTGTTGAACCCCATTTGTGGGTTCCTTGGCTGCACAGCAGCTAAGTTTGAGTCTTACCGGCAGACCAGCAGATTCTTGATGTCAGGCCTCGAAACATCGCAGGTGCCAGGTGCAGAGTTCTTCCCGCTGCCAGGTCGTGGCTGTGGCAAAGCTCCACAGCGCCTCGCAGCAGCGGTGGACCACCGAGCGGACGTCACCCCCAAAGCAGGCACGCAGTCCGCCGGTCTGGCGGTGAAAGCGGAAAAAGTCGGGGGCTGGCTTGGGCAATAGGCGGGTTGATCCATATTCCATTGGTTCCCCAAATAACCATGGGTAACTTTTCCTATTTAGTGGTTGAAATATGTTTGCGATTTGCAGTGGTTCCAACCAATGGTCATCCCATGTTCATTGGGCTTCCTCTACCCCAATGCGGGGGCATTTATATATATATATATGACATGCTCACCTGGGTCGAGAACGAGCTCACCATGAGCGTCCTTGGGGAGTCCTTATTTTCAGGCGTTCAAAGAACCCCCTGACGCCCTTGAAAGGGGAAGCCAAAAGGAAACTGTTGAAACAATGCAAGTCAAACATGTTTGAACAGGGGGTTGCCCAAGCCAGATGTTCGGGCTCCAAAGCATGCTTAGCACCTTTAGCCGTTCCTACAAGATGATCAAAACCCAGTTGGGTAGACCTTTGACGAGGACAAGAATTCTACCAGCCAGGGTCGAATGGGAGCAATCCAATTATGGTTATGTTAGGCCCGTCAGTAAGGAAACTATGACCAAGGTAGGGGAATTTTCCCCACTGACCCGCACGGAGAGTTGCAGGTCGAGCCAGACATGACAGGACAGGAAGCATAACGAGCCATATTTGGTGCAAGGCGTTTGCCTTCGAACACAGCCGAGTCCAATCTCAAGACAGGGGTTTTATGAAACATATCAAGGTTTGCCAAGCTCGTGCTTGGCTCGCATGAAAGAACATTTGGATTATTTTACTTCTCATGTCATTTCTGCGACTGAATCCAGCTCGCACCTTGCATGAGTTCGTCCAACCATCATCTCCGATGAGAGCAGGATGTGTTGTTGCCAACAGCCGCGTGCTTCCGAATTGTCGCCGGGTGTATTTTTGAGTTGGACAGAGAGCCGACGGTTGAGAGGTGCCATTTGCTGCTGTTGGTGGGTGTCCCTTCAAAGTCAACCGGAGTCAACCGGGCAAAGAAAGGGTGTGCTTTGTTCCCCTTTGCCACAGGTCTGGGAGAGGGCCCCCATCAGATTTGGCTATTTGCACGAGCCTTTCAAGAGGTTTGCAGGGCCAAGCTGCTGCCCAAGGAACATACTGCATAGAATCACTAATCCTGGCACCCGTGTCTCACGCAGAACAAACCAGTGTCCCTCGTACACAATCTTGGGTCAGCTCATGCACCTGCACTGAAGGCAAAAGGGGGCTGAATGCTGAAAATAAGTTTGGAATGGGTTTATCCGAAGCTCACGGATGGACCTAACCCACAGAATCCCTTTGCCCCCGCACCCAATGGAACCTTGTTTGGCGACCCAAGCCATTGCCATTATCCACTTGATAGTTCGCCAAGGGTTGGTTATCGCCTAGGTGACTAACCGCTCACTGGGCCAAAATTCCAAGGCTCATGATACGGTCAATGTGCCCCGCTGCCAGGCACGGTTTCTGGACTACACCACCGACGCGCAGGCGGCCAAACACCCATCATCCTTTACTGAACACAAAGGCACACAGATAGATTGAACGCCGCACATGAGGTCAAAATTCAAGATGCTGCCACTCAAAAGACAAGTCTGACGTTCCACATCGCGACTGTTGCTGACTCACCCTCACGTTGCCATGGAACCCACCGTGTCCCTTTTATGATCTTCCCGAACATCTCACTTAGGTTCCTTGTTATAGCATAGGAGGGTGTCATTTGCACGGCCGATCTTTGGCGCGACCATTTGCTTACATTGGGTTGGACCGGTGGCTTTTTGGGTTCGACCGAGCTCAGTACTTGCTTCTGCACCAAGCAACCAGCAAGAAGTTTGAGTAGTTTCTCCAGGGCTGAACGGTGAACCCAGTGTTGACAGCTTCTGGTGGGAAAATAGACAAATTTCGCCTCCAGCCCCCGAATGATTGGTGTCGTGCTGATTCCGTTTTGCACCCCTTCCGCATCAGCTTTTGACATGCAAACTGGGTCAACTTGGCATCCTTCACTTGATTGTTTATTGGGTTGGATCTTCAGACTTTAGCTTTTTGGGGAATCAAGGGGTTTTCATTGAACCCACCAAAAGTAAAACTTCTTGCAGAGGGGTCACAGCAACCAAGCACATTTGGCTACTTAAGCATTGGGGACCCAGTGGCTGGGTGACCTTGATTGTCCAACCCGAACTTATCGTTTTCCCTTCAGCTCTATGGGAATCCAATTTTGCAGATAAGCCCTCCCTCGCTTATATAACCCCTCCTTCCCTCCTTCCTTCCTTTCTTCCTTCATTTCTTCCTTCCTTGCTTTCCCCTCCAATGCGGCCTCACCAAAAGCTACTTTTGGGGAGCGCGGGAAGCGTCTGGGAGCTTTAGGCAGCGGTGTCGAGCCCCTCGCCCATGGTGGACGCTTGGGCTCCATGGTTGCAACCTATAGCCCATAAACTGGCTTTGAGCACAAAAAACAAACGGTTCCCCCAGTTGTGACCATGGTTTTATAGCCTAAGTTCCAGGTCCTATGTTGAACCCACCCCAGAAAGAAGTAACCCACCCCAAGAAGTGGACAAGGAAAACCCCAGCCCAAAGCCCTTTCAAGCAAGTTGACTGGGGCAAACCTCCGCTTCGGATCGCGGATCGGAGGCCCGGCGTCTCTACGAGCACATCGCCGCGGCGGCCGGCATCGCCGGGGGCCTTCGGAAAGCCCGTTTTGGTTGCGCTGGGAGCGAGGCGTTGGGTTCTCCTGCATTCGGGTTGGGAGGGCTTCCCTATTAGAATAGACTACAGAAAAAAGGGTACCCTTATTCTAACCTCTCTACTGGATGACCTAGGTATGGTTTTAACGCAGAGCCAAAGGTAGAGAAACCATTTTCTGGGTCCCCAACAGAAATCACACACGCCAAAATGTTTAGGATTTCGAAGCGGGAAACACCTCAAAGGTGTTTGGTGCATGAATCCCGAGCTAAATGATGTTTTGCAAAGGGTCCCCCATGAAAATTCAAGCCTGTATGATACACACACACATATATATATATATATATATATACCACATATGTATGTGACCACACACACATACATATATATATATATACATACATACACATATGTATACACATATGAATATGAAGCATATGCATTCATGCATGTGGTGCCTTCGGTCATTTGCCTTTTCGTTTTCCTTTCTCATGGCACAGGCTCACACGCACTGAAGTTGTTTGCATTTCAAAGAAGCATGTGTGCAAGAATGCTACATGGTGTGCTGCAGCTCACGCCCAGCCAAAAACACCGCCTGAAAGCCTGAAACAAATCTCTGGAACATAGAATTTGATTTCAGCCTCACACTTTGGCTTTGTGGCTTTGCTCGAGTTGTTGCTTTCTTTTTTTGGGGGGATGGGCGTCCAGATGCAAACACTGACTGAGGCATTTGTTGTGCTTCATACGTCTGGCAGTCTTGCAGCCCACGCTCGCGATTTTGGGCGTCTTTTTGGGCGGCTCGCTCGCGAGCCCGTAACGAGCGCGTCAAGGGAAGCTCCACGCCGGCTGGTCGGAGAGTTGTTTCAAGCAATTGTGGGCCTATGTGTTTAAACAGGGGCGTGTGTGTGTGTGTGTGTGTGGGTGTGTGTGTGTGGGTGTGTGTGTTTCTCCCGGAAGCAGTGCGAAGGGTTCTTCAGGGGAGAGACCTGGAGCGAGTTGCAGCGGCAAGTAGCACAAACACGTAGCAGTAGCAAGTAGCACTAGCGAGTTGCATCAACAAGTTGCATTAGCGAGATGCACCAGCGAGTTGCACCAGCCCACTAGTAAAAGTACACTAACCCACTAATACTCCAACTTGCACAAACGCTCGTGCACGGCTGGCGCAGTGCAGCGAGCGGAGTCTGTCTTGCCTTTAGGCAGGCCGTGCCAAGTCTGCGCTTACCCGTATGGGTCGCGTGGCCGTGAAAACCGCCGTGAGCTGTCTCATGGCGCTGAGGCTGTGCATACCACAGCCGATCCGCACACCTTTCTGTGGAGGGTGCACCAACAAAAAAGAGCGATCGATCCCAGAAGAAAGGAATCCCTCCAGCGAAAAGTGGCGTGCAAAAACGGTCAGAACGCGGCTGACCAACCGCAAAAGGCTCGCAACGGTAGGCCTGGCAAACGAAGCGGCTTGCGTCGCGTGTTCAAACTTGCCATCTGGTGTGGCTATGGGAAAAACCTGGCCGGCTCCGTGCTGGTAGAGCAAAACTAATTCTAACATGCTGACATCAACGCAAGCTTCGCTTTGCCCATCTAGGGCCAAAAGCCACTCGAAGAACTGGCGTGGGAAGCTGCTGGGGAGGTCCGGCAGCTTCGTCTCGCCAAATGAGGTCCAGTTCTCAGGCAGGTGATCGGCCCAAATGCCTTGGCGGTCATGCCACTGCACAGGGGTTCCGCTGGGCTGCTCTGCTGGGTTTGGTTCTTCCTGTTCATTAATTTGCAGGTTCTCGCCCTGGGTACGGGTGAGCTGTGCGATGCGGAGGTAAACTCGTTCCAGCGCATCATTGATTCCGGCCCAGTGATTGAAAAACTGCTTGGCCTGGCTATGCAGTTGCACAAAATCTGCGGATCTGTTCCGGTTGGCAGTAACTGCAGCATGGTCTGCTTGGTTTCCACGTGCGACCCATTCCTCAAAAGGGGATTCACAGTCGGCTTCATGAAGATGGGCTGGGATCCAGCGGATCTGGAAGGTCCCGTATACCGTGCACGGAATTGACGTGCTGGTTCGTGAACCCATGTGCGGCATTTGTATTTCATAGTCCACTTGATGGCACTGATCACTGCGGTCAGTTCTGCGCGATTGATCGTCTGTATTGTACCTGACAAATGTCCTGCTGCGATGCATCCGCGATCCGGTGCGATGGTCGCCCAGGCTGCTAATGCGAGCTGCGGATCTTGGTGTCCAAAGCACGAGCCGTCTGTAAAAACGTGCTGTAATTGTGCTCCGTCAGGTTCAAGATAAAGCTGCTCCTTGATGATGGCGAAAGACGGGTTCCTTGGAACAAGCAGATGGTGGCTGACGCAGGTTGGGAGGGAGTCCCACATGTTCACTTCCCACTGGTCCTCTGCACGGCAGGTCCTGTAACGTGGGCAGTCGCATACCTGGTGCTTTTAATCCTCCGGAACAAGGCAGAGAGGGCACAGCGCACTCTTAGTCATGTCGTATCGGGCATGATGAGCGGGAGCACGGAAAGACCCATCCTGCACTGCTGATACCAGTCGCGCTTGGAGTGGTGTGTATTTGGATCGCCGGCGGGTAGAGCAAGCGTGGTCTATGCCGTTGAGGTCGCACATGGAGTTCCGGTGCTGGACTTGCTGCGCTACATATTGCGCCCACGCATCTTCAAGCCTGCTGATCAGCTCGTTGGACGAGCAGGTAAGGAGGTTGAGGTGGAGGCCGTCGTGGTCCGTGATGTATGGGACATTGTCGATCGTCCACTTGAGCGGGTCACAAATTTCCAACAGTTTGGAGAAAGGTCCCGGGAGTAGTCGACCGTCGTAATGTCGCATAAACTGCGCCCACTCGTTGACGTGAGCTGGCTGTTTGCGGCAGATCCGGCGGAAGTCCCTGAAGACGGTGAGGGCTTGGTAGAATCCCGGGTCGGCTTGAAATGGTAAGGCGAGCATGAGTCTCAGCATGGGATTGCCTCCTGCAAATTTCAAACTCAATGCTGCTACAGCCGCAGATCGGAGCCGCCGGATATGTTGTTCGCCCAAAAGGCAAGTGACGATTCCGTGTAGGGCTCGCGGCCAGAAGCATGTCCACAGGGTCCTGGCTTTCACATCCAAAGGGCCTGGTGCTCGTCGGAGTGCTTGCCTAAGTCCCGCGTGTTGCGGACTGTTCGGCAAGGGAAGTGCTGCAGAGATTTCCTGTCGGTAGCCGATGCGGCCCACACGAAAGACTTGTGATAGTCGATGGGCAGGGCGAACATGCTGCAGAAGCTTTCCAGCGCACACCATCCTCTTGCTAGCATAGCCGGGGAATAGGCTGTGGCCGCAAGGTTGTCAACGTAGCTGTATGCCAAGGTTGACGGAGCGAAGGCCTGCATGTAGAGGTGGTAGCTGAGGTTGATCATTGTCATAGCAGCTACGCTCAAAGGGCAGCCTTCGGGAAAGCCGACTGAAGACCTGATGGGGGAGGAAAGATTGCCCCGGACAACGAAGCGCCGCTGGTTGTTGTGGAGAAAGTCGAACCAGGGGTTGAGTCGCGGTCGACCTACAACGCTGCTTCAATAATCTTCGCAGGGAACCTGTCGCCCTCATTGCGAAGGCCCTGGGCATCTCGGATAAGGTCCGCATAGTCCATTGGCCGGGTGGTCGGCTTGGGCACTGAGCTCGACAAGTGCTTGCATGGCAAAGACATATTGCATGGCCTCCTTCTCGGGCATGAAACCATAGGCAGTGTCGTGGATCAGGTGGCTGACACCCTTGAGGATGGTCTTGGAGCGGATGGCGGCCCAGGTGCGGTAGATCAGGCTGTATATCACAATTGGGCGGTAGCTGTCTGCTGCTTGGGGGTTGGTGGTCTTGGCGATGCAGCTAACCGTGCCCTGAAGAAGCTGATGGGGCCAGGTGGTGCGGCCGTCCTCCAGGCTGTTGAGCCAGTTGAGCAGCTGCTGTTTGTGGTCTGGATGCATTTGGCGAAGGTCCTGGAGCGCAAATCCGTCAGCTCCTTTTGCAGCATGTGGGCGGTACTTCTTGAGGGTATCATCCCACACTGAGACCGTAATGGGCTCACATGGGAAGTGGCCTTTGGGGATGTAGGCTTGGACGAAGTTGGCGATCCTCGTGAGTTCTTTGTTGGATAGCCGGGTTGAGGTGTTCCAGCGTGAGGTCCAAAGGTCAAAAAGCTCAGCGTGGATGTCATTGATGTGGGTGACAAAGGAGTCCTGCTCGATGTCATGTCCTGGTCTGTGTCGACCTGGGCGACATCAGAGGCAATGGCCTGTACTTGGGCTGGTTCACCAGACCGAATTGCCTCTGGTGCAGATATTCTTGTCGAGGTGCACAAAATTGTTCTCCGTGTCTACAGCCAAAATGGTGTAGTCCCGAGCGATCGTGAGCGTATCGATGGCTGGTTTCCTATCCTCCCGGATGTAGTGGTAGAGAGCCCCACTCTGCTCATCGTATTTGAGCTTGATGGCCTGGCGTCGCTGATGGAGATGCCAGGCCTCGAATTTGCGGTAGTTGGAGCGGTAATCTTGGAAGATCAAGACAGCGGCGGGGAGTGACGGTGGTAGACGTGGTAGTTGGCACGGACTGCCTTGCAGTTGCACTTGCCGGTTGAGCCACCAGCGATGGAAGCCGCCACGAAAACCAGAGCTCCTGGTGATAGCCCCCCAAAGCTGAGCGCGATAGAGGGAGGAGTTGATGCTGGTAATGTTGGATCGGAGCGAGTGAAGGTAACTCTGGAGTCGCCGTAGCTGCTTGCACCATTGCCGCACTGCTGTGCCGGCAAGGCTTGACTGAATTTTTTCCTCACCTGGGCGGCTCGATTTGATGGCGTGTGCAGTGGTATGGACTTGTTCGGGCTCAGTCCATTTGCAGCGGCGAGGCAGGTCTTTGTTGCGGTCCAGCTCCACATAGCCGTTGAGAGAGTCCTCAAATGGCAAAGTGCTGGTACCACTCGGTGGGTGTCTCGTGCCCATGGATGGGGTCAAAGCTGGCGGAGTGCCAGCCTGTGAGGTTGATGGAGTGCCAAGGGATGGCGGCTGGTTGTGGCCACCTTCGAATTTGTTGCTGCTGGGCCTTGGTCCACAAATCAACGATGACCGAAGAGTGTTCCATGTATACGTCCTTGACTCGGACGCGTTGTGTCAAAGCTGCTGCCTCGGGCGAGAGAAAGATCAGGTCTCGTTGGGTGGCGCCCTTGCACGTTGGCTGGGGCTGTTGTTGCCAAAGGGCCAGGGCAAGCTGCTGTGCCTCAACCCAGCCGTGTTGCTTCCAGAGGGCGATTTGTGCTGACTCGTCGTGGTTGAAGTCTCCTGCCACCACCCGGACTCCTTGGAGTCCCACCACTATCTCCCGTGTGATGGTGGCTAACAGGCGATCTGTTAGAGCACGGGCGTCCGGACGGGCCGTGGTGACTCTGCCGGTTTTAAAGACGCCGGCGTCCCAGGGCAGAGTGAGGGGTCGTGCTGGAAGGTCTGTTGCGATGAGCGCCCCAGTCCATGATCCAGCCCAGTGAGAGTGCGCTCTAAGTGGTGCAGGAGCACCCTCAATGCATCGGACCTGCCGCTGTTGGGCGCGGCCGAGCTGGGCGAGTTTCTTACGTACGATGGGTCCCGTGACATGGGACAGTTGGGTTTCGGCGAGATGCCAGATTCCTGGTCCTTGTTGGATTTGGAGGTCCTCCTTGCCGTCAGTCCCGAGGGGTTCGTGGTTCCCACGAGCGGCCAGGTTGGCCCAGGGTTGTGTGCTTCCCCGATTTGATAGAGGCGAGCACGATGGTGATCGCAGTTGCAGAGCACACTGCATGCCTGTTGTGGTTGCCCT